TGCATTTCCCTTTATTTTTTATCAAATTACATAAGGATAAGAACTCCAGACTTGTGGGAATTTCAGCTATATCAGCACTCTTAATCGTCTGGGTTTCTGCAGTGTGCATGTTTCAGGTACTCAGTGCCATGTTTGAGGAAGACCACAAAGGCACACAACACACCAGTGTTGCATTTATGGCTAGCACAATTGTTCTGAATTGCGCGAATAAATTCAGTCTATTAAGGAAATGCAATTCTGTCAATTAGATGACCTAAACCTGCCACAAGACAATACTGGGTAAGACTTATTTGGTAGAATGTGCATAGTGAGTAAATAATAGGAAAAAATGGGAGGAGGAACTCACTTTCGTAGAGTTGGTGTCCAAATTGTAGGCCGGGTGTGGTTGGGGGAGGTTAAATTGCCAACGTTTCGAACTCTTGTTCTTTTTCAAGGCGGCGGAGGGGAAGAATTTTGAGAAGTTGTGACTTCACGTGCCGAATTGTGAGTGAGGAAGGAAGGGTAAAAAAGGGTAAAGGAAGACCGTTAACGCGTGCGTAACGGTCCAGGCTCAGGTACCTCGGGGTCGCCCAAACACCCGTCGGCAATGCAAACCGCCCTGAGGGTATGTAGAACTTGCCAAAAAACTATTTTAGAAGGAAACTGAAGTTAACGTTCAAGCCAGGGGGCTTGTTGGACTGGAAAAGAAAGATGATTTTATTTTCAAGTGTTAAACGCTTTCTTTCATCAGAAGGAGCGTTGCAGAGGGCAGTGATGATGATATCATCAATATCGTGATTGCGGATGAAGTGGTTGCAGACCGTAGTACCGTTACGCACGCGTTAACGGTCTTCCTTTACCCTTTTTTACCCTTCCTTCCTCACTCACAATTCGGCACGTGAAGTCACAACTTCTCAAAATTCTTCCCCTCCGCCGCCTTGAAAAAGAACAAGAGTTCGAAACGTTGGCAATTTAACCTCCCCCAACCACACCCGGCCTACAATTTGGACACCAACTCTACGAAAGTGAGTTCCTCCTCCCATTTTTTCCTGGGTAAGACTTATGTTCAATTAAAATAATTGGGTACTATACATAAATATTTGTATAAAAAAATGTTAATATAATTTGAAAATATTTCATGGTTAACGAAATAAAGCATTGAGCAATGCAGGATAAAACTTTCTATCATTGTGCAATTATGGTTTGATTTTTATAAACAAGACACTCTTTTAACATGAAAGCATTTTTCGGGTAGGTTCTCTTTTTAAAAATCTACTGACAATGCGCATGTAAGACATGTTTCGCACGGATCTTCCTTTAAGCAGAGCCGATCTTCTTGAAATTTTCAGGATGATCGGTAAGAAAAATACCAGACACGTACCTTGTGGGACGGAAAAGTGTATCAGAATATCAAATTTTGCATTTCTTTCTGCCTATTTAATGCGTGGCTTGCTCAGATTTTCGTTAAGTCGAGACTTAACAACCGAGTCGTCCCTTGTTGTTCCTGATTTAAGGTAATTTGCGTGAATTCATACGTTTAACAGTCTACGGAATGGTTAAGAAATTTGATAACAAATCTTGTTTTCCAACAAAATTAAAAAATTAAAATTCCTAGCATCCAGTGAAAATCTTTAGTTTGTTCATTTTACTGAATTTTTCTGGAAATTAGTTGTCTTGTAACCATATTTTTTTACCGCTCTGTGCGTGGAAGGTAAGTGGAAAATTGACGAGATAATGGTTGATGTGCATACTTAGAAGTATTAGATTTCATTAAATTAGATAGACAGTTTGCAATGATATTTTTTGAATCTCGTAACTAGCTTAGGTTTGTGCCGCCAAAATTTTGGCGGCATAATTATAATTGGCCTACATACAAAAACTTTGTACGTTCTGTCCGAAAATTTGGATTTTTATAAACTCTAAAGTCGATACTGGGAGAATTACGGAAATTTTCATAACGTAACGCATTTGTATAACTAGTATTTATCTAGTCTAGTATTGTCTAGTATGTCTAGTATTTATCTATATCATTATCATGACCAATTTATTCGCAAAATATTCTCCCCTTTCAAGTTAAACTGCCAGACTGAGACAACCTGAGAAAAACTTGGTCCATCATGTATCACGTGTATTCAGCTAAATTTCAAAAGATGTGGGAAGCGATTGCCCAAGTAGACGGGAATATAAACGATCATCCCTCATTCCCTGATTCGCTGGGAGACACACCATGGACTTTGGCATCTATTGGAGACATCTTGGGATACGTGGAAGAGGAAATTTATTCCATCGCGGGGCACTTTGATACTGAACATGTGGATGAATCAATAACTCGCCTAGGGAAACCATATCTTTCTTTTGGGGACAAGTTGATTATTAATTCTGGCGGTACTTCGCCCCTTGTGGAAGCCATCATTTCTCGGGTCCGTCACCCCGCTGTACGCGCATGTTTCAAGAATACCAGGGTAGAAGCAAACTTGTTTCGTATCATACATGATTTTTCGGCCGAAAAGGTTCAAAAAGATTTCACATCTTCGCTCTACCAAATACAACCGTTCCCTCTTCAGTTGAAAAAGGACAGCATCAAAGAGCGAGATGGGGTAAAGGAGTATTACGCCGAAATGGGTGTAACCAACGAGGCAGAATTGTATGCCCGTAGTATCAGAGATTTCGTCTTAAACGGTTACATCCTAGTTTTCACCAGGGGTTTTGATTTATGCGACCTTTCTATTGCCGCATCAGCCCAATGTCTCCCATTCTGCATGGATTTTCTCGATGTATATGATGGTTCCAATTTTGCCACTAAGGAGGCATACCGCGCCGCGCTAAATGACTCTGTTACGCTTTATGGCGGAGGGAAGTACGCCGCTATTATGGAACAAGTCGTAATTACTGCGGCATTCCTGGTGTATAAGAATGAGATCACGGCAGGGGCTAAGAATGGTGATATCTTGCCAAGGGTTACTGATGACCAAGCGCCATCGCCGTTGGAATATAACGAAGTCCGATGGTTGGATGGGTTTCTGGCCAAATTCCTCAAGTTCCCCATTGTGCTTGCAGATGGGGCTGGAATTCCAGTTGATGACAGGCTCAATCCGATTGGAACCCGAATTTGTCCCTCTATAAGAAGGTGTCTCGATTTATACCTTCTCAGCAATGATATTATCGACCTGATCAGCGATTTTCATGGAGAACCAATGAACAGTGTTTCCGTTGCAGCAAGGTATGGCGGTCGGACTGCTGTTATTGGATACGCTGACGCATGCGCCTCTTGTGTGGTTGATGATTGTGCCAAGTGTAGCTGTGATGCAAGCGATAAGGCGCACGACTGGGCATCTGATCTTGCCCAAGGGGTCTTGGTCATTTATGGATTAGACCCCAGATATGTGGCTGTGACTCAAATAGCGGAATTGAATCACTTAACATCCCAAGTCTACAAGGAACTTATAAATTCATCGAAACACGGGCCATTCACTTCTGGAAAACTAGCGAAATTTTATTCAAACGTACCCGCCTTGCACGAAAAAGAGTGGAAACCGTTGTATAATATAGTGATCGTCCCTCCATCGGAGGGAAGTGAAGAATGCCGTCATTGTCAAACTATAGGGACCTGGCTGGTGAATCGAGGACTGTATCGCGAACGGAGAAATATTTTGGAGAATCAGGTATGGTACCTTTCGTGGCGTTAGGATGGCGTTAGTTTAAAATTAATATTCAAAATTTGCTAAAATTTTACTGATTGTATGGAATAAATATGAATTTATGTAGAAATAATGATGTCGAAATTTATGTAAGGAATTAAATGCTTTCAATTTTACGAGAAATCAACAGCCCAGAATTGTCTCATGCGTCACCCTTGCTTATTAAATTTGATGAACTAATTTTATTATATCTTGTAATTTAAATCTTCCACAGGTTCGAAAGTTTGTAAAGGAACGTCTCCACCTTAAGCCTAAAGCTGAGATGGATAAATTCTGGGGGGAACTACTCTTCATGCTTGTAGGAGAGGAATGTAATACTGAAATCGTGCAGGAGTGTGCAGGCATCGTAAATTCGATTTGGAACTTATTGAGATTGGCTATTGATGATGATGACGTGGAATTGAATATCATTAGAAAGCGTCAGATTCGAATTTACTTTGAGCTCGTTAAAGTTGTTACAAGATCGCATGAATTCCTCGACGGGCATCATCTCAGAAGAGCTGTGATTGGATTAATCAGTGTAATGTTGGACAGGACAGATGTTTTCGTATTCCAGCGCGTTCTGGATGGACTGTTGGAGTATTCTCGACAGCTGGAGATGTTAAACTTCACAGACGAAAATCTAAATAAGTTTCAAGGGAAATAATTTTAAATTTTTGGGATCCTTTCGGGAATAAATTTTCCTTTAAACTTGGCATGATTTGTTAAGATACAAGATAAACGTAAAACTTTGTTTTGTATCACACTTTATGTATGGTTTTGTTGCTTCTCTGATCTTCCGTCTTATATATATTATAATTACGAATACTGTGAATTCATTACATTACAAACGTTGTATTTAAATATTAATCAATATTCAAATTTCTAATTAAATGTTTAGATTGTGGGGACATTTAAATAAATCAACAGAAGGTCACAAATGTGTTCATTCTACATAACAAATTGTACCACCCCATGAGTATACATACATATTTACGTGGCTTTACCGAATAGGAATAATAAGTCACCACATGGTTACAGCGGAGTTGAATCCGTCAGTGTTGGCAACACCCACCACTCGGTGACAGGATGTACATATTCATATAACCAGGCGGAAGTATACTACCACCAAATATTTATACATAATAGCGGTAACTTATATACGAGCTCCAATAAAAGATTGGTATTGTAAATAAGTAAAACAGCAAACTTGTGCCTATTTAACCCCTTGGTCTCAGAAATATGTACTTACATATTTAGGAAATTATTTAATTAATTTCAAATTGACGAGAAGACGATTCAACCGGTTAAGAAGAGCACAAGACAGAATAGTACATATTCACATTATTTACATATTCAAAGATAGTATTTTATTTCGACTGGTTAGTCCAATACTTTTACCAATTAGTGGTAACTTGGTACATACACTTTTAATGTTTTTGCAAAAATGAGAATTTGCATATTAAAATTCTTGCATCTCCAATTATTCAAATGAAACGAAATTTAAGACAAACATTTTCTGTTGGCGTGGTTATGTATGTATCTACCAGCACCTTCCAAAGCCACGTTTTCCTCCGCAGCACTTCTTGAAGGGTCCGTTCTTTCCCTTGAGGATGCCCTCGCAATTGCCGTTGCTCTCGTTAAATTCGCCAGTGCAGCAGACGGCCGTGTCGTCCCACTCGTTGCAGACGCAGGCCAGGCAGTTTGACGCCCCGTTGTTGCAGGCACGCCTGGCCGTGGCGTAGGTGAGGAAGAACGAAAGCGTCAGCACCGCGGCGAAAAAGATGACCGGCTTGGATGGCGTTGTCATGATGACTGGAAACTTAATATGTACAGTTTGAAATTAAGAAATTTGTTTGCATAAAATGTAGAAATATTTTACGGCTCGGTTACATACATAAATCGGTTAATTTTAGGGATTAAAATAGTCCACTCTTGAAAATAATGTCACCATTTTTAAAAATAAATTCAATCTGGATTCCATGTTGAGAAAGAACACTATGCTGAATTGAGAGTAACATTGACTTGCTGATTTGCTTATTTTGGTCAGGATTTAGTATACTTTGCTTAACATAAGTAAATATTTAGAGTGCATTTACATTTCAAAAGGGTGATATTATTTTTAAGAGTGTGCAGAATTATATACTGAACCTGACGAAATTTCAGCATTTTTAATTCCCAAAGTGTTAAAATTCAGTAATAAATAATTATAAATAATCATGTATTTCTTACCAAGTTTTTGTAAGTTTTCAGATAATTATGATGCTAATGTCTTCTCGGGGTAGATTCTTGTGTCGGGGTAAGAATTTTGCGAGCTCTTTTTATTCACGGCTAATTGCTCCATTGTCCTTGAAATTATTTTCATTTCATTTCATTTCATTTCAACTTTTATTCACGTGTAAATGGATATCAGTTAACAATAACTGGTTTGCAAACCATGACACAAAATGCTATAACTATATAAGAAGCATAATAATACCTAACTACATTTTTTCTAACTCTTACTTCATAGATAATAATAATAGTCGTCAGAACGCTTATTAATTATAAATTCACGACAAGATTGTACAAATTTAACATAACTCATGGCATAAGCGTGCCAGATAATGGGCCAAATTTGCCAAGGTGGAGGTTGGCAAAGCAATTAAATAGTTCTCGATGGCCCGTGTCACCGATTAAGTGACCGCAAACGATATTGAAAATGTTAGGTTCGGTAAGAAATTTATCGATGTACAAAATTAAACAAGTGTAATAAACCATTAATTTGAATCATGATTAATTCTCTTATTGACTTTTATGTAATATGATAACCGTTTCGTAACAATTTTCATGTAATTCGATTAATTTGTTTGTACCCGAACACCACACGTGTGGGAATTTGTGTCATCAAATTCTGGCAAATTTTTGTCAATACCACTGCTGAGAAAACTAATTTAAAATTCGCTACGATATTCAGCAAATTCTCATAGTTTTGATTAATTCATATGTATCTAATAAAAAAGTATGTATTATTGCTTTTCTTGTTCTTCTATCAACTGAACAACCTTATGTACTATCCAATGTCCCCTGGATAATATTATAGTCCTAACTAATGAAGGATTATTTAGGTTATAATTTTCTATGCCATTAGGCTTTACTAAAAAAACCAGAACGCAAGTAGCTGGCAACATATGTGTCCAGAAAGGCATCATTTTTTATTGCTCTATATGTACAACTAATGGCAGGTACATATGTATGCACATGCTCGTCCTCCATTAATTCGCTGTGTTTAGTTTCCATAAATTGTATTTATTAAATAACCAGATTAAAAAGTTAAATCTCTATTGTGATTAAGCCTTGGCAACTAAATACTAAAACAGAATTACACAACATTGAAAGCAGTGTGTGCAGAGCAAAAAGGCAGGCAGTGCCTTTTTGCCCCACAAAAATGGGTGCCTTTTTGCCTTTTGCTAATTGGAGCGAGATGAGACAAAAACCCTGTGATAAAACTAAAGTGAAAGTTATTCATTCGTTTTTTATACTTCTCTTAAATATGATCTTTAGTAGGGATGCACCGAGTACTCGGCCAGGCCGAGTACTCGGCCGACTCGGCCTGTATTTTTACTACTCGGACTCGGCCGAGTATTGTCGAACCACTCGACCGAGTATTTTCTCAATTTTTTTGGCAATTTGTAACAAATTATTTTGTCCATGAAACTGATTTCAAGAAGTTTTCTTGCATTCTGGTTTTTGTAAAGCATACTTCGTAACATTTTTGCGTATTTTAAGTCGAAATTCATGAGCGACGACGAAATTAAAGATTTTTTAAAAACTGTACTAGCAATGGATATCATTAAACGTATTCTCACCGATTCTGACCAAATTAATTTCAACCGATAACAGATTTGTGTAGTTAATGTCACATTTTCACGCGACTATATCTCATAAGGATGGGATAGATATTTGTATCCGAATAAGAAAAAACATGCATTGAATTTGGAAAGTGTGCAATTTTTAACTTTGAGACACGTTTACACCTCTCTGTATGTAAATATCTCAGACAAACCTGTCTACATTATTGTAGCGCCTTCACAAATTGGATGTATTAATTATATTTGTGATCGATTGACACTAGTATCTCCAAAATTAAGTAGAATATGCTACGAGATGTCTATTGTTATTAGATGTTGCCCGATTTTTATGTATTACTCAGTACTCGGTGCTCGGCCGAGTACTCCTTTCAAGAATTGTCGAGTACTCGGTGCTAGGCCGAGTCTTATTTTTCACCACTCGGTGCATCCCTAATCTTTAGCCCAAAATTTGATTAATTAACCTGATAACGATGTTTTAAAAAAATCAGGGTTGGCCAAAATACTATTTGAAATACAAAATACAAATTACAAAATACAAAATACTATTTTGTATTTTGAGGGCCATGGTTCAGATGAAAGTATTTTGTATTTTGAAGCTAGCCGGGTATTTTGTATTTTCTAATTTTTCAAGTCGGTCAATGTATTTTAAATACAAAAATACTTTACAAAATACATTTGAGAAATATGAGACGAACTCATGAGAAGAACAAGAGTTGGTCTATGCAATATATCTATTGCTACCATTCCTCATCGGTTATTTTCAGTTTCTGGACTCCATAGAATAGAAAGAATGGACTCTGGCTGTGCCAGAAAGCTACACAAAATATTTTATATTTACATATGCGGGTGACTAATTTTCATTTTAAAATTTTTATCAAGTATTAAGATCGTAATTAAAACTTCTATATTTTTACTTCATTGTCCACGCTATGTCGTACGATAAAGTCTTTTTGTAGTGTGAGAAAGATTAAAATTAGATAGATTGAAATTATTTGCGGGCTTCTTCATATATAATTTTTTCGTATATAATTAATTTCATATAGAATGAAATTCAAATGACATCACACATGCCCAGTAACATAATTACATTAATTACTAAATTCCAAATAACGCTGTGAAATAAAATCAGTTAGCAAAACTTTTGAAATTTGAGCTTGAATTGCATTTTTCCGGGTTAAATATGGCAGTAGTATTTTGTATTTTGAAATGTATTTTAAGTACGTATTTCGTATTTTGTATTTTGAAGTTTCGTCGATTTTGGGCAAAAGTATTTTGTATTTTGTATTTTGATGAGATTCGGGTATTTTGTATTTTGTAATTGTATTTTGAAGGTTCACAATAGTGTATTTTCATTTTGTATTTTGCAACCCATGTATTTTGCCCAACCCTGAAAAACATCTCTAAAACATATCTATGGAAAATTATTCAACTAATTTGAAGTATCGCTGAAAGCCAGAACACTCCAATACTATCTTAAAAACATTAAATACGTAGGTGTTTTATTATTGATTTTCAAAAGGTATGTTCCGCACTGTTTGTGACCAAACTTTTGATGAAATAACAAACTTCGAATACATTTAGGAGGTTGTGATTTTTTTCAGTTCTGTAGGTTAACATGAACACTAGAAATAAATCAGCAAACTTTACCTCGACGGAAAAAATGTCAGATTTGCAAATTAAATATCCTAGCGTGATTTAATTTTTAATGCTGGAGGGGCAATACGTGTCGCAGATTTATGATCGAATGCTTAAAATTTACGATGAAAACTGCCCAACACAAAACACAAATTCAATTGCGTTAATAATTTCAAATGATGGCGAAAAAAAGTCTGGGACAAAAAGCCGCTAGAACGCCCAAAATCTGTTTCTCCCACAGAAAGGCTCCGGAAACTAGAGGAACCAATAATGAGAGATCCGCGATTGAAACTGCCCTATTTAGCAGATGAGATGGGTGTTCCAAAACCAACAATTTGTTCCATGTTAACTGAAGTCTTCGGTATGAAAATGGCTTCCTCCCGTTGGGTACCAAAATTGCTTTCGGCATCTCAAAAACTGGATCGAATCGACTTTTGGAATGAAACTTTTGCCCTTTCAAATGAAACCTGGAACTTGATTTATATTTTAATAGTTGGATATGATACTTGGGTTTACTATTATGCCCCGAGACCAAATAATAATTCACACAATGGAAGCACGGGGGGTCGCCACCGCCCATGAAAGCAAAAGTGCAAAAACCTGCCAAAAAATTGATGATTCCCATTTTCAAGGATACCAAAGGTCGCCTCCTTATTACATTTATTGGTAAAAATACTATGATAAATGGGGCAGCCTATGCAGGAATCCAGAAGGAGCTGTGTGCTGTGGTTGAAGAAAAACGTGGGGTCAAAAAAAAGAGTTGGTGCATTTTTAGCACGCCAAAGCGCCACCTCATACCTGGCTTTTACGAGGGCTGCTGCAGACGGAAATCGCTTCACCTAGATAAACCACCTCCTGTACAGTCCAGACATGACCCTTGGTGATTATTATTCGTTTCGAAACTTAAAGAAAGACATCAGGGGGAAACGGTTTTCTGATGATAACGAAATCAAGTCGTAAATTTTGGCATATTTTAGAGGTAAATTTTGATGAGCTATTGCTAGTGTTAATGTTAACCTACAGAACTGAAAAAAATCACAGCATCCTAAATGTATTTGAAGTTTATTATTTCATCAAAAGTTTGGTCAGAAACAGTGCGGAACATACCTTTTGAAAATCAATAATAAAACACCCACGTAGATGCTACAATATCTTCAATACGTTATTAACGACAAGAAATCTGGTTCAATCGTCAAAAATCGAGCAAAAAGGCATCAAACAGGCATGGAGAAAGGCATGAAGAAATAGCAAAAAGCCAGCCTTTTTGCAAACACTGATTGAAAGCAATACATCACCCCCCGAACCAGGAGCCAACCATGTACCAAATATTCTTCGAAAATATTGCAATCTTCAGCTTAAATTCCGTTGCACTATGTATAAAATTGTCCCGAACAAAGACAAATTTTCCAACCTTCTGAGAAGAGCAGGGATAATCTCTACATCCGCACTCGAGTTCCTCATCCGCCCAATCACGGCAGTCATTTATATTATCGCAGAGCTTCCATCGTGGGATGCAATTATCCTGTTTGATACAGTAGAATGTGTTGGGACCACACTTGCTGGTACTTAACATAGGTAAAAAAAAATATCACATTTGTAATCACGTAACAATTCCGGATCAAATACAATATTCGGTTGTGTTATGCATTAATATATGTACAGGGTGGTTTAAATGTAACGCTACAATGGGAAATTTTTCAACGGGAAAAGTCCCTAAACCTCCATTAGTTACGAGATTTGGAATTGCGATTTTTATAATTATTATCAAAGCTGATGACAAAATTTTTAAAATGTT